GTTATACCTGTAAAATTCATAAGAACTAATGACTGCATCGGCATAAAAGATTCGTTTGCAGCACTGCACATTCGCCTCATTAACAGAGGAAAGGGAGTTACTGCAAAGACATAGCCCTCAATCGGCGAAGCAGATTTGTTTAAGCGTTGATGTGCTTCTGCTTATGTTCAAGCAGCAGTTTTCAGTCTATCATTCCGTGCTTCAGCGCCTTGAGCACCCTTTCTGACAATAGATTCCGGCAAAGAAGACTACTACAGGGTAACCGTGGATGTTGGACGGATGATACGCGCAGCGTTCTTTCTATCTTACTAGGTCCCTCAAAATTGGAGTGGGGGCAAAGAGAGGCAAATTCTCAGTTGAGTTTCCACCGTTTAGAAAATAAAAACGAAACACATCTAGTGGATCGATTGGCTAGATCGTAAAGTTCCACCACTGAACACAACTATCGTTTAGGTTCTCGAATTCATTAGAAACACACGGGACGCAACAACGATGTCAAATTGTCCACTTCGCGATGTCAGTATTTTTGGCTCATGAGCCACCTATCGTGAAAATAAATTTTCAAACCATTGTTTGCTTGAAGTATGTAATAATTTCAATTTCAAAAAAATCAAACTCGTTTTCTGTCAAATTTCCATTTCCTGACGAGTGAGAACATAAATACCACCAAATCTCCAAAAACACAGATCGACCTTTCAAGTTACCCATGACTTTCTTCTGACAGAGTTTTTAATTTCAATACACCACAGTAGTGCTTGCTGTAATCACTTGAAGTTTCGTGAAAGATATAGTTTAAACCCTTCTTTGGTCTTCATCTCTTCAAGAAAAGAAAGTGAAATAATTAGGTTCAGTAACGTATGAATATCATTAAGGGCTCTACACCAGATATCCGATTATCGCGCAATGCTCAGCCCAAGTTAGACGAACTGGATCGTTGGTAGTGATTCAGTAAATTCTCGAATTTTTGTCTCTGGATGCTCCGATTGAGGAATGCGACAAAGTTCTGAAAATACGAGCCAAACGTGCTAATACTTAACCATTGATTTTCCCAAATGGATTGGCGAGTCGTCTATCAAAAGCTTCAATGCGATTTATAAATCTCGTTGCTCAGGCAACAGCTACTCGAGTCAGTTTTATATAAATGTGAGGATGATGGTCTACCAAGCCCATTTTTCCTCGCATCAATAGAAAAAGGGAAAGAAGATTTTAAAGATCGATTTTTCGTTAACCTCGGGGTAACTCGAGCCAGGTTCTAACGGATTCGACTTGGTGCGACTATGACAACCGAAATCGCAGGACTGAAGAGCCAAGGGCTCGAATCATTGTGGCTCTGAAGAAAGTGAATGCGCAAGAACATTACCCACAAAAAAGCACTTCATGACAACAATATGTCAGTGCAATAGGAAAGAAAAGAAGCTTGCACTGAGTTTGCATTACAGCAGCCAAGAAGACCAGAAAACAATGTGCAGCTGATCAATCTAGGAGCAAGTGGATGGACAAGAGTATATTGCATTTAATTTCTGCAATAATCTGACGTCTACTGAGTTGAGCACACTTTCACTGCAAGAATATTCTACGAAAATTTTGTGCAGATAAGTCGGCATGCTGTTGAAACCAGGGAATTCATCGGAAATTTCTTGTTTGAAGTTCCGAAAAATTGCAGCACCAATGTGAAAAGCAATTATATTCTGATATGAACGAAGCTACGAGAAAATTTACAACACTCTTTTAGCTGGTTAAAATATTGCTGATATTAACGAAAAGATATATTTCTTCTGTCTTCTATCACTATTGTTAACAAATATGATTAATTTGACTTTTTACATAGCCCCTTGTAATCGCTATGTGCGAATTATTGTATTGTGCGAATTCCAGCATTTTTTTTATTACGCTTTTTTCCTCGCATGCCTCGTTGGCGATGTTCTTCGGATTTGCGTGTGGAGTGGATTGCTGCTTGAGCACTTTTACCCTTTGAATGTCATTGAATATCAGTTGAGCGGCATCGCTTCCACTGCTCTATCTATGCCCTACTTATGTTGCTATGTGAGTGATTGCCTGAAAAGAAATTAAGCAAGGAATGGAAGATAACCGAGGAAGTTTGTTGTAGCGGTTCAACCATGAAATCCGACCAAATCACAGAACTCATAAGAATTTAAAAACTTGTAAGAATTTAACAATCTATAGCAAACCAGTGGCGAGCATGGCACGGTGGCTAAAGGTTCCACGGGTTTCATCTTCGGCTTCAGATACAGCCTCAGTTTAAAGGAGCTCAATGCTGTTTTGTGTTCTTCAGATTATTCCCGTTGATTGCTGATAGTAACATGAAAAAGCAGCTGGAAGAAAGGCAAAGAAATTGCCTCGATTTGTGGATTAGATAAAACACGAGCTATTGGACAAGGTATTTATAGGTTCGAAGCTCACCTAAGGCTTCAAGATTTGCTTATGTCACAGCATCGCGTGATTGTATTTCTTATAATAGTCTGTCATAATGTCAGGAAAGAAAAAAGGCACTGAACAAAAGTTAAAACATTACCACGAGGTTTTTGGTACAACTTTGCCCCTGGGCTAACTAATCCCTCCATCTCTTCGGGACTTCCAGATTAGTTCCATAGTTGGGAGCATAGGAATACTAAGTTGCTAGATCGGTAAACCGTATCATTCGTCGTATTGGATGGATATGCTTTCGATTACCTCGACGATGCTAAGCACGGAGTTAAACTCATCGCTTCATTCCTAAAGTATGGACCGGTTTGGAGTGCTTTATCTTTTAAACTTTGCTAGAATTTATCCGAAAAATAAGCAATTAGGTTTTCCTATTTCGCCTCGCACCTTTCAATTTTCGCTCGTATGCAATTATCCAAAGATAACTTCAATGATGCTGAGATATTTGCAAAACTCCGGACCGCAGGCGTATGCGGTGGGGAACGAACACGCTATTGTCCTTTCCGCGGAGTAACGCGTTCACCACCACATCATGCGGGTCCTTCGTTTCGCCTGTCTATCAGCTAGTTCTATCGATCTTTTGCCATCAGAAATCACCTGATAGCGGGATCGATAGAACTAGCTGATAGACAGGCGAAACGAAGGACCCGCATGATGTGGTGGTGAACGCGTTACTCCGAGGAAAGGACAATAGTGCGTTCGTTCCTCACCGCATACACCTGCGGTTCGGAGTTTCGCAAATATCTCAGCATCATTGAAGTTATATTTCGCATTACAAGCTACCGTTAAAAAAAGTAGGTAAAGTATAAAGTAAATAATAGGTCAAAATTATCCAAAGATAATTAGTGATATTGACAAATCGTAGAGGAAGGTTCGACGTTGTTTGCTCTATAGTTTTATCCACCAAAAGCTATCTCGAGGTGCCTCAATTTCATCTCACGAGTTCAGATGATACTCGCCGGAGGAGATTTCGTCCAAGGAATTTATTTGGACATCGCATGAAATCGGAATTCTCTATAAGGTTGAATTGTATGATTCATAGCTATGAATAAGCAGAATACGTTTGATTTATTGAACACAAACGGTGCACCCTGTTCCTTAGCGTCCTTCTTTTCGTTTATTGTTGCGAAAAGCTTTCTATATTGAAGTTTTGTTTGCAGTAATCATTGACGTAAACCGCACCACATTTGTTGATTCTGTGGTACAGTAGTACTTCCATATTTGGATGAGCTTTCTTCAAGGTTAGCTCAGCACATTTATCATTATTTCTCTGTCAGAAAGTCTGAATAGCTTAAATTAAAGCACAATGGTGTGCGGCCTAATGCTGCGGGAAAGCCGTTAGAGCAGAATGAACCGTATAAGAGAAAACCTAGTTGGCAAACATATAAAATCAAACAGAGCATTCTCCTAAACTCGCATAAGACACGAGGCCATACCGAAGAAGGTCTCGAAGTAGAAGTCACAATTCTTGTACTGGAATCTAAAACACGAATTTGCTGATCTCTTGAGACATTTCAGATAAACTACAAATATTTAAGCTGGACAGCAATAAGGAGTGCTTCGTAATTACATGTGACCTCTCACCATAGGTAGGCTGATTTTTCTAAACTCAGCCAGGCACATTCCTCACCCATATAGGACTTTTTAACCCTGAGCTCTTTTAGTAAGTCGAAAGCACGCAAAAAAGCGGGGGGTATTTTGTAGAAGCTGTTTGCCACGTGGTTGCAAACGTAGGTTTCAATTTGTGTTGGCCACCTCGTGTCTTCATATCAAGTACGTAACAGCATGGTAGATAATTCTTTCCTCTTCCCTTTGTTTTGATTTTGTGGCGAGAAACTGATTTACAGACATGAGTGAGGAATTTGTGACGACGACCCACGTCACTCACGCGCAACGGCGCGGCACTGTACGCGAAGTTGTTGAAATCGCTCTTTCATTCGACTTGTTTTTGTTGTTTCATTATTTTTTAGTTCGTCTAGCACACCATATGTTGACTGTAAACATTCAAGGATTACCATGAAGTTCCAAGTTCCTTCAAAAGCTATAAGCTAAAAGTTTACGTAATATTCATTTTCTGCTGAACAAAAGTGCTTCGTAGGCATTTGTGAAGGCCAAATAGCAGTTTCAAGGAGTTGACCGAAATCATGAGTTCGACGATGCAACGCTGATGGCAGAAGTGAAATGTACACATGATATTGCCAAACAGTTACTATCCTATCCAGCTTCGGAATTCAAGGTAACGCTGACGATGGATCCACAGATAGCTTGGAGTTCGAAGTGTTCGGAGGCATTGAATCGATTCTAGAAATCCATCTTGAAAATTTCTTGATTGACGAAATAACCCTTGAAGATGGTGATAATTTGCCTATCTTTCATATTCCAAATCCATCAATCCGTTGCTGACCCATGGCCATTCCTAACATTTCTTCGTGCTAAATCTATGTGCTATTAGCACAGGCAAATAGTTTTTGGTTTGCATGCTATCCGAAACGATTTCACGACTGTGGTTTTAATATCCCTAGCAATATTCCTTCATATAATGGTAGTTGTCAAAGGTGATGATGGGTGGAGGTAGTGGATATCTGATGGACAAATCACGAAACGGATCAAGAAGTGACGGATTGAACGTTGATCTGGAATGGCAAAAACTCAGCGACAATCGCAGAGTGCTTCGTAACATGCTTGATTTTGATGAAGTGATTGCGGCAGCCAACGAAAAGCTGCTTGGTGAGTGACGTTAGTTGCAATGAGGACATATCCTTATAAGAAATGATTTGAAATTGAAGGAATTTTCTCTCCTTCACATCTCCCGTATTATCTCGACGAACTGTTGGCCGGTGCCAAAACAGTACCGTTGCTATGGGAGATGACCATCAAAGCCATCGAGCAGCTTCAAAACGAACAAAACGGCTATTTCTTGGTGGTTGAAGGTGAGAAAGAAGAAAAGTGAAAGAGGCAGACAGAGAGAGAGAGAGACTAGAAGAAAAGGTCACAAAAAGAGTATTCCGTTCAAATCTTGAGTTAGCTTCTAGTTTCTTTAATGTCGTCATAATTCACCGTTAATACATGTCTAAATATAGCCGTACTGGAAATCTGTGCAAGTGAACGGAACTTAAAACGAAATGAAAATGAGTCAGTGCGATTGATACAATGCCCGCAGGCGCTCAGAAATCCGATGGCTCGCATTGTAGGCGGAACGATCGACATTGCTGAGCACGAGAACATGATGCATGTGGCATTCAAAGAGGTCTACGACTTCGAGGAAGCGATTCGAAAAGTAAGCCGCTCTTTCGGCTCTTCTTATTGAGGACTAAGTGTTAAGCAGTAATGAGTAATAATGAGTAATAGTGATATTATTAGAGGTGTAATAAAAAGGCAAGAAACAACGTGTGTTGATGAAGCTCGGTCTTAAACTTTGCTTTATAGGCCCGTGAGATGACAGATGCTAATGAGACGTTGATCATTGTCACAGCCGATCATGGACATGCACTCACGCTACCCGGCTACTTAGACTCCGACGAGACAATTTTCGGTAGCGATTCCACACTTCTTCCATTTCCGGATGTAGATTGTCCGAGAGACCGCGTACAATGACGAATTAGTTCACTCTTGGTCTTGGGTTTGATGCATTCACTGAAACGCGTCGTTCTTTGTAAACTAATTGCTCGCTGGTATAGAAAGATTGTCTGATTTGGAAAAAAATAATTTGAAATTCCATAAAATTGTTTGTATACAACTTGACTAATTAAGACAAAACCGCCAGAACCAACACTAAGGACCGTTTTTGCCAAGAACATAAGATTCCTGTCGCGAAGAAATCCGAAGCTCTGTAAGCTACGAATCAGTTGAACGCACTCTACGTTATGGGTCGGTTGTTGAAAATTTTTCCTTGAAACTGGTTATCGAGCTCCATAAAAGAGTTGTGATACACTGGGAAGAGCTGTCCAATGAGTAGGCTAGTTGAGGCAGCGTTCCGCAGCCCAACTTGTTCAACCCAACTTGTTCGACTTCTGTTATGTTAGTTGTGCAAAGTGAGATCGATCATTGTCGCGCTATAAGATTGGATCTTTTCGGTTAACCAATTCTGATCATATTTGCAAGTTTCGATGA